ATCCCCGTCAATAGGTGGACCCCCTCCCGGCCCCATAAAGCCACCAGAGTCGAAGCTGGCAGCCTCTGCTGTCTGAGATCGCAGCTGCCGGTAAGCGCACTTGGAGCAGGGCTGCGGAGAATGGCTAGGGCTGCCCCCCCATGCGGCCCAAAGCAAATGTATGTGCGGCCCAAACCAAATTTTCATCTTCTAATGTGGCCCAGGGAAGGTGAAAGGTTGGACACCCCTGAGCTAAATAATCCTGATTTTTTTTTTCCCAGTCCATAGACATAGAATCCCTACCAGGCCTTTTTTTCCCCTGATGCTTTATTTTTATTATGCACTTTTAAAGGAATGGCACCATGGGGGGGGGGCATGGTCTGGGCCATAGCCAGGGCACATCATGGAAACGGTGAGAAAGCAGAAGAGAAAGGATTGCCACCCAGTTGCCTGGGAAATAACCTGTTATTTTTTTAAAAAAAACACACAACTTGATGATCTGTTGTTTCTAGAGGTGAAATGGAGACTGCACTTTCTTCTCATGAGCAGAACACAGAAGCATGATCTGTTCAACTCTGGGCTGGCCGTTGTGATTTCACCGTCATTTCCCCAGATTCTGTTGCTGAGCTAAACTCCTTACAGGTGGACGAGGGCTAAGTGCTGTTGCTTCAGGAGCTGGACGGGCCCCCCATGAATTCTGAGCAGAGCCTATAACCTTTGAGAGGCTACCCACATTCCAGTTACCATCAACCCCAGACCGAATGGCCAGTGTGGAGAGACCAGAGCCCGCAGCTTGTCACCACACTCCCCACCCCAAACAGGAGAACACAGAGAGGCAGGAGGGCCCGTCAGCAAGACCAAAACTCAGATCTTGGGCCACCCAAATAATTTTTTAAAAAAGGTGAAAATGGGAGATGACCAGAGAGGGCAACTGAGGAGGAGGGCAGTGGGAGGCCAATCTCCCCGAGAGATTCTTTCTTTTTTGCTATCACACCTTCACACCAAGTACAGTGGTGCCTCGCATAGCGAGGGTTAATCTGTTCCAGATTAACCTTCGCTATGGCGAAACATCGCTGAACGGGACAGAAAAGCCCATAGGAACGCATTAAACATCGTTTAATGCGTTCCAAATGGGCCGAAAACTCACCGTTCAGCAATGCTTCCCGGGTCCGGCAGCCATTTTCGCACCCTCGTTAAGTGAAGGCAGGGCGCGAAAATGCGCGCGGCCATTTCGGGGCTTCCGGTGGCTATTTTGGAGCTGATCGTCGGGCTTCATTTTGCGAAACACTTACCGATCTTTGCAAAGCGAGTTTTGCCCATAGGGGCCATTGGTATGCGGTCGCATTTGCGATCGCTGAGACCCCATCGCTATGCGATTTTGTCGTTATGCAGTGCGCTCGTTAAGCGAGGCACCACTGTATATACAACATCCCCTTGTGTGCCCCTCTCCACAGTGATTCCTGTGGGGCCTCTGGTTCGAACGGACAAAAGGCACTACCAAAAAAGAATTGCACATTACATACTCACCTGCAGAGTCCAGAAATATTAACGTTTTGAACAACCACTCCCAGAATCCGCTAAGAATCATCCTGGCTTGGGGATTCTGGGTCTTGTCATTTAAAGAAGCATCTTTTCTCAACTCTGCTCTCCTGATGTTTGAATGGTGGGGCTTGGCCTTAGCCGCTTGCTATTAAAAGTGAAGAGAAGGCAAGGACAGGTTTATTTCAGAAAGGCAGCAAGCATGGATCGGGCAGCTGACTGTGGCCCTCGCAATTCCAGGCAGGGCAGGATATTTGCACGGGGGTGGGTGGGAAATTGAAGCTGTACAGTGTGACTTTTTATTCCCCCCCAGGTGATGGGTTGAAGGCTCTGTATAAGAAGTCCTTGGGGGTGGGGTGGGGAGTTATTTTTAAATCGTTGTGAGACAAAAAAATCTGTAAAATAAAATGTTAATTTTAAAAAAAGGAATGGAGAAAAAAAGTGCCTTTCTTTTGATTGCATGTTGTTGCTGTTTTAAAACGGCCCCGTAACATGGCATAGGATTGAAACGTGATAATGTTTTAAGAGTTTAACAGAGGTCCTGGAACTCTTACATCTCTTGAGCTTCTAAAGATGGAGACGTGATAGATGTTTGTAAAGGTGTGCACATCCTGTGGTGGAGGCCATGGGCGAGCGGGACCTTGCAGTGTCTAAGAATCATTAAATTGGAAGGGGCCGATAAGGCCATGGATTCTAATCCTCCCACTCAAGGCAGGAATCGAAATCTAAGGGTATCTACCAGGTGGTTGTCAACCTTTCTCTTGAATGCCTCCAGGGTTGGAGCGCTCACCCACCTCTCTAGGTCACTGATTCCTCTCGTACTAGGACCTAGAATGCTGGCTGATGAATCGAGCAATGGCTTATTGGGGGAAAAGCCAAAGAAACACAACGAAACCAAGAGGAAAAACATGTGGCGCCTTGAAGACTAACCATTCTATTTTAATGCAAGCTTTCATGGACTCGTCCACTTCGTCAGACATTAAGAGACAGCATGGCTGTGGTCCTTTGCTCTTCTAGGGTTGAGGAAAGAAAACTCAAGGCGAGCAGCCCTGGAGGAGACTGAGAGAGTTTGACTGTTGCGTGTGAAGTGGCTTTAAAAGCCCGGGCTTCCATCTCCTCCTATGCCCTGGTCAACCCATGAGGGGAGTGGCAGAAGCTCTTGATCCGAAGCAGCTCCCCTGGGCACAAGCCATTTCCTCAAGATTTAAGGGGGAGAGAGGGATGGGGAGACGAGAGAGTTTGAGAGAGTTTGAGTGTTGCGTGTGAAGTGGCTTTTAAAGTTCGGGTTTCCATCTCCTTCTATGCCCTGGTCAACCCATGAGGGGAGAGGCAGAAGCTCTTGATGCAAAGCAGCTCCCCTGGGCACAAGCCACCTCCTCAAGATTTAAGGGGGAGAGAGGGATGACCGAGAGCAAGAATTTCTCTGCCTTTCCTTGCAAAGGAAGGGAACCGGTGCTAAGAGGGGAAGCAGATCCTCCCTCTCCCCCTGGCAAAAAAAAGAAATTTTCTCCCACTCTTTTCCCTTGCTGGTGCAAGTTTGGCAGGCCTTGGCTATCCCAGAGACTCCAAAGGCAGAGCAGTCCAGGATCATCCAGAGGAAAACTGAAAAAACAGATCACCAGCTGGGAGGAAGATCATCACGAAGGGCTTGACTCCCTGGAACACGGCCTATAAACACTCCACATTTGGATATTTTGCGGCAGGTCCTGCTTGTTTATCTTAATTGGGCTCCATTTAGATTTTACCCTTTAGCCTCAGATGGGTTCCAGAGTGGCTTAGCACCACCTTCAAAACAACCATCCCGCCTGCTAAACCCATCAAGACCAGTACGTCAACCTTATTATTAAAACAGCCGTGGGATCATGGCAGCAGCAAATGTTAAAAAAAAATCTATGCCAATGAGATAAATGTGCGTAACAAACAGTATGTGCTAAAAAGGTCAGGTCATTTCATTGTTGTGGAAAGAGGTACCGTCTCATGGAGTGGATTAAAAAAAGAAAAGAAAAGAAAAAAAGATTTCCAGGTGTGACCCACTCTGTTGTTGGAGGAGGATGGGAGTTGTTGTTGAAGAGTTGTTGTCTGGCGAGAGTAACAAGCTTGGGAAGGCTGTGCTAGCTAGAGCCCCATGGTTCAGCGGCTTCCCAAGCCTGGAAAAGACACTTTTGGACTACAATACCCAGCATCCGCCTGCCAGCACAGACTGGGGAACATCAGAGAATGCAGAAAAGCTGAATCTTTTTTGGGGGGGGAGATGAAGCAGATTTTGCAAACATAAAATCAAGCTATTGGGGTGTCCTTGTTCAAAGAGAGGAGGCAAATAAAATTCATGCTCCATGCAATTTCGGTAAAATTGGCGGATTCGGCAGGCACTGCTCAAGGCTTCCATTTGGACAAGGGAGAGGAGGGAAGGCTATAAAATATTTTATTTAACTGTTACATTTATTCTCCACCTTTCTCCTAATGAACTCAAGGCAGCATAAGGGGCTGTGCTCCTCCTTATGTTATCCTCACAAGACTCCACGAGGCTGAGGGAGTAAAAGTGGCTACAGGTCGGCCAGTGAGTTTTGTGGCTCTCTGGGGACGTGGACTTGCTTCTCCCGAATTCCAGCCTGGCACGCCAGTCATGGCAACACACCAGATTTCTGCTCCTCGGGTCTGTGGAGGCCCCCTTCAGCAGCACCAGCCACCCTCCTCCGGGGCACCAGCCGCACCTTGAAAGGTTTGCAGTGAACCAGGAAGTCAAAGCGTCCCCGGAGGTCAGGGAGTTCTCCCGGCACGGAGGGCAAAATCTGGAAATCTCGCAAGATGTGGGCCAGGAAAAGGAAGGCCTCCATGCGGGCCAGCACTTCCCCCAGGCAAACCCGTGCCCCGCAGCTGAATGGCACCAGAGTCCGCTGAGCCTCAAGCGAGGCCTCCTCCTCCTCCTCCTCCTCCAGGAATCTGAATATCAAGAAATAAAAGACGGATCAGGTTCAGGGTGGGAAGTGGCAATCCAGAACACGCGATCCATCACCCTGAGGGATACCTCTGGTCGCCGTTCTGGCACTCCTGACTTGGGCAGAGGAAATGATTACCCCCAATCCATAGAGAAAAACTTCTCTAAACAGCCACAATCATCATCATGTGCTCTCAAGTTAATTCCGACTGATGTTTCCCAGGTACAGAATACTCAGGTTTTACAGATGGCTGGTGATCTCAGAGAATTGGTCTCAGGCTGTGGAGCCAGCAGTGGGGAGTTTGATTCCCACCCACCAACCCACCCAGTGCATCCCAGAAGAGCCAGCCTGGGTAGCCTTGGGCAAGTGGCACAGTCCCAGGGCTCCCCCCTAGAAGAAGGGAGGGATAAACCACTTCTGGGGATTCTCTACCTAGAAAACCCTGAAACAAGGGCCACCTAAGTCAGAACTGACGGCGCGTGATCATTTATAATTGAACAGCCATGAGAACTAAGCTCGGAGTCTCTGCTCACAACCATTATATCTTTGAGTCCTGAAGTCAGAACTGACAACGCGTGATCGTTTATAATTGAACAGCCACGAGAACTAAGCTCAGGGTCTTTGCTCACAACCATTATATCTTTGAGTCCTGAAGATAACCAGCCCAGCTTCTTTCACAGGATTGCCGTGAAGCTGTGCCGCAGTTTATTCCAATTTGTGGAGGTGAGATTTATCTGGTTATGGACACGGGATCGAAATTGAACCATTATGTACAAGAGTAGTTTGTGTGTCCAAAGAAGGACATGTGGGTCTACCAACAGATGGGAGAAATTGTGAAGGGCAATCCAGGGCTATCGCGATTTTCGGCCGGTTTATACTGTGCCTGGACTTATCAGCATCTCCCTTGATCTCTTCCACTTGTCCAGGATCATGCACTCCCCAGCACACCAAACTAGCATATAGGCTTGGTAATGTTTATGAACAGAGACAGGATGGCCCTCAAGTTAAAGGAAGCCAGATTTCAGTTGAATATCACGAAAAACTTCCTAACTGTTAGAGCAGTACGATGACAGTGGAACCAGTTACCTCAGGAGCTGGTGTATGCTCCAACCCTGGAGGCATTCAAGAGAAATTTACAATATTCGTCTGGCAGATATGCTTTGATGGTATTCTTGCATTGAGCAGGGGGTTGGACTTGATGGCCTTGTAGGCCCCTTCCAACATCACTTTTCTATAATTCTATGATTAGAAGAGAAGGAAGACTTGTGGTGCAGTGGTTAAATTGCAGTACTTCAGTGAAGACTCTGCTCATGACCTGAGTTCAATCCCAATGGGCTCTAATAGCTGGTTCAAGATTGATTCAGCTTTCCATCCTTGAGAGGCTAGTAAACTGAGTACCTAGATTGCAAAGGGGCTGCAGGTACAATACACAGTGGTGCCTCGCTTAATGAGCGCACCGTTTAACGACGAATCTGCATAGCGACGCGTTTTTTGCGATCACTAATGCAATCGCATTGCGATGTTTTGAATGGCAAAAAATCGCATTGCGATGATCAGTAAGCGTTTCGCTTACCGATCTTCGCATTGCGATGTTCTAAAAACAGCTGATCGGCGGTTCCAAAATGGCCACCGGGAAAAAATGGCCACCTGCTCTGTTTTTGCGCCCTTTCCTCGCTTACCGGGCAGCGAAAATGGCGGCCGGATGGAGGATTCCCGCAAAGCGGTGAGTTTTTCCCCAATAGGAACACATTAAACGTGTTTTAATGCATTCCTATAGTTTTTTTTCCCCCACATAGCGACGAATCCGGATAGTGACGATTTTTTTGGAACGGATTATCGTCGCTATGCGGGGTATCACTGTATAGCCTGCATAATTAAACTGTAAACCACCCAGAGAATGCAATGAACATTATGGGCTGGTTATAAGCAGCACACTTTGCTTTGCTTTTGAACATTTCTTGTCAGGGCCTAGAGAGGAAAGAAAAAACTGGGAGAGAGGCTGGAGAAGAAGCTTTAGAAAAGCTTTTCCAAGTGGATTTTTTTTGTCTCTGCGAGGCAGTGACAGGAGAAAATCTAGACTCGGACACCCTTCCTCTCACCAAGGAGAGAATAATATTCAGAAGCATAACATATGAGGGAACAGCTCTGAAAATATTTGGCAAAAATGCTCACAAAAATGTGGGGAAAAACCACACAACCAAATATTGCCTTTACAGAAGCATGTCAGGCAAAAATAACACAAGATTTAAAAAAAACAACACCAAAGGCTAAAACCTTCTGTCACCTTAAAGACTAACTGCTATGTTTTAATGTGAGCTTTCATGGACACTTCTTCAGCCATTCCAGTTGCCTACTGGGCTCCATCTGTTTTCTATTTCATTCTAGGGTCTAGGGTGGAGCAGATGGAGGTGTAGTGTGGTACTTTTCCGAATTAGTTATGACTCTGATTCAGAGAGAGAGAGAGAGAGATCACAATACCTGGTCTGAACTCCAGAGGGTGTTGCCATATGCCTTCATCATGATGAGCCCCATAGAGATTGGGAATGACCGTCGTGCCCTTGGGGATGAAGAAGCCGGACACACTGGGCGCCGAAGGAGGGCAGAAACAAAGAGAGAGAAAAGTTGCAATAGATAAGTGCCTTCTCTCCTGGCTTCAAAAGCCTCGGCTACTTCTCCTTTCTAACTTTTTATCAGAGAGCCCAGAAACCTAATACAGTACCCTGTTTCCCTGAAAATAAGACCTAACCTGAAAATAAGCCCTAGTAGGATTTTTTTTGGATGCTCGTAATATAAGCCCTACCCCCAAAATAAGCCCCAGTGAAGTGAAACCCCGCCCTCCACCCTTGTACAGCAACCAGAAGATGACATGACTGTATTTGAATAAATGTAGACTGTTGTACAGGAAAAAAAAATAAAACATCTGAAAATGAGCCCTAATGTGTTTTTTGGAGCAAAAATTAATATAAGACCCTGTCTTACTTTCGGAAAAACATGGTACTATGACTGTCGAACACAAAGACCAGGTTCCCCTACTTTTTGTTATGGCTACGTGCTGTCCTGTTGCACCTGACTTACAGCAGCTGCAATATGGCTTTTAAGGTATGTGAGATACTGAAGGAGTTACCAGGGCCGCCCCTCCTCTCCCCCGCTCAAGTGAGTTTCTGTGGTTGGGATGGGATTTAAAGTCAGGTCTTGGGCGTTGGTGAGGGCTCCAACCCTGAAGGCATTCGAGAAAAACTTAGATCATCCCCTGGCAGATCTGTTTGGATGGTATTCCTGCCTTGAGCAGGGATGTTGGACTGGATGGCCTCGTAGGCCCCTTCCAACTTCACTTTTCTTCTATTTCTATGTCTCCTGAGTCCTCATCAGATGCTCTAGCCACTGCATATAACTCTCGTTGCTCAGCGGAAAAATCTCTGGCTTGCCATCAGCTCAGCAAGCTAAGTCACTGTAGACCTCCTTCTTCTCCTGCTCACAAGAGGGAAATGTTCCCCAGTTATCCCCCAGTTAGATCCTTGCTTTCCGCCCCAAGTCCCATGATGCACAGTTAAGACTGAAACGTTTTCCCGGTCAGCAGCATAACTGGGGTTTCTATTCCACTCCCTGGGAAGGTTGTATTTATTTTGTACCTCTGCTGGTATTGGTGCACTCCTTACTGGAAAGGCCTGTGTGTAAGACCTTCCTTGCTTCTTTTCAGAATCAGGGCCAGGAAGGTGGCCGCATTTCTTGTGGCAGGCATTCATGGCCAGTGGCATCAATATGTGGGCAGAAGGATGTCACAGAGCAACATGAAGCATTGCTGGAGTACCAGCATTTCGACACGCCATTTCCCCCCACTTATTGTGAGGATGCAATTGGGGGGGGCGTTGCAGGGAGGGAAGGAAATAGGAGATTAAGCTGAAAGGCAGATGAGATGGTGGGGGAAAGAGACAAACTAATGCGATTCTGCAGGAGCAGCTAGTTCAATAGAGGACATATTCCCAAACAGAACCCCTTCCCGACATATTGATGGATCAATAATTATTTTATATGTCCCTCATCCCTAAGGAATGTGGTGGTGCTGGTGCTATGGGTTAAACTGCAGAAGCCTCTGGGCTGCAAGGTCAGAAAACCAGAAGTCATAAGATCGAATCCACGCAACAGAGTGAGCTCCTGTCGCTTGACCCAGCTCCTGCCTACCTAACAGTTCAAAAGCATGTAAAAATGTGAGTAGATAAATAGGGACCACCTCGGAGGGAAGGTAACAGCATTCCATGTCTAGTCGCACTGGCCACGTGACCATGGAAACTGTTTACGGACAAACGCTGGCTCTATGGCTTGGAGAAAGGGATGAGCACCGCGTCCTAGAGTCAGACACGACTGGATTAAATGTCAAGGGTAACCTTTACCATCTGATCAGGGCCTCAGCTAACCAAGATATTGTCTAAGGATGGAGGGAGAGGAAGTGCCGGACTCAATGCAGTGGAGCTGTATCTAAACCTCAAAATGGGGAACTGAATATGATCGGATCCAGCATTGCTTCCTGAACCTTGACTCCCGATACAGGGATTGCCAGCAGGTCTTTTCTGAGGCACTCAGCAAGAATCAGACTTCTTAATGGTCTCAATTGAATTGATGACGATGGAATTGAGAGGCAAAGGAAATGAGAAATTTTACAGGAGTCTCAAGAGAGCTTGGAAGAAAGGCAGAAAAACAAACAAAAAATAATAATGTCTGGGTGAGAGAAGTAAAACCTCAGACCGGTATTGGAAACTTGAATGCTATCAAAGAGTAGAACGGCAAGAGAAAATGCCCTGAGTGTTTTGATAGAACTCTGTTTCAAAGGCCAAAGTATGCTGTTTTCCTACTGCAATAACATCTGTCCTTTATAACAGTGGTTCTCGACAATGAGTCACCAGATGTTTTTGACTACAACTCCCAGAAATCCTGGCCAGCGCAGCTAGTATCAAAGACGTCTAGGAATCCTTTGTCTAGGTCACTCTGGGGCTTTTTCCGCAATAGACATGCACAGAACTGAGCTGCACTTTGAGGGGAAAATGGCAACTTTGGTCATAATCACACGGACCATGAGAACTGCAGTTATATCGATTCTGCCCTTATTTAAATTGTTTTATAAATTTCCGTTTATAGGACACATGGGTAAAATCCATTCATTTAGCCAATCGATCAATTTTTTTCAACCTTGCTGGTATGGGTATTTTAAAAAGATCCTGAATTGCTTCTTTCCACATCCGTTTGGCGTGTGTGAACATTGCTGTTGATTTACTTCTCACCCACTTGTGTTTCCTGTCCCATGGGCACTATGTGGCCACTGCACTTATTCCCCCTTTAATTTCTTTTTTCAAATGCTAAGTGATGTACCAGGATTCTCTCCCCCAAGAGTTTACCGCTGCATCATTTCCTTATTGTAACATTCATTCTTGCTTGTCCCATCCCTTGTCAATGTGGATAAACACCCCGCCAAGTGTCCTTTGAGAAACAAAGTGCCCTCAAACTGAAGAACTGCCTTGCGTTAGGAAACATCTTCCAATATTGCCTTCTGAAGTTTTTCACATAAATTTAGAAGCTACTTTAGTGATGCATCATTTAGGTAGTTTTTAACAAATAAATAAAGCTATTTTAGACCAGCGTGCTCCTGAAACAGAATGAAAAATGAGTCGATTTCGTTGGGTAGGCACAGGCAGCCCACAAAACCTGTTCAAAGTTCAAGAAATGTATTGAAGGAAAAGACTGTCATGTGAATGCGCCCAGCGATTTATTATTTCATCATCATCATCTTGGAACTGCAGACCTGGGAGGGACCCTCTGGTTCATCGAGTCCAGCCCCTGTCAAGGAGGCCCAATGGGGAATTGAACTCCTAGCCTCTGGAGTTCAATTCCCCACCACAGCTAGAGACCTAAACCACTGCTCTATCCAGCAGTTCCTTCACATAAATATATGTGCGTATAAATGGAATCGGAAATTAAAATGATTCAAATGGCCCGTGGGGTGAGGCCCTGAGCTAAGAATGGCATCTGGCCCGCCCACTTGATTTTGACCCCACCCAGAATCCTTAGCCCTGCCCATGGAATTCAATTCCCCACCACAGCTAGAGACCTAAACCACTGCTCTATCCAGCAGTTCCTTCACATAAATATATGTGCGTATAAATGGAATCGGAAATTAAAATGATTCAAATGGCCCGTGGGGTGAGGCCCTGAGCTAAGAATGGCATCTGGCCCGCCCACTTGATTTTGACCCCACCCAGAATCCTTAGCCCTGCCCATCCTTGGCAGGTGACCCAAAACCCTCCTCAGATTGGAACACAGCTCCTGGAACAATCAATTATCAATGTTCCCACTGCTGCTCTAAGGGAAGTCTTCCTATTAACAGGGGCTTCCTCCTTAATGTTCCCCACAAAGATGTTTATGTCAATGCAGACGTGAAGGAATCAGGGATTAATTCTGTGCAGAACGTCAGGGAAGGGAAGAAGCAGACCATTGCTATGCGTACGTGGAGCCTTTATGCGCAGAATGCCACAATATGGCTTGCAGGACTGTGGGGTACCTGGTATCGCGGATGGTCATGTGAGGGAGAGCAAGAGGTGCCGAAGGGCGCATGCGCAAGGTCTCGGTAATGGTGGCGCTGAGGTAAGGCAAGTGCTGCCGGTCACTGTAGGTGGGTTCGCGATGGATCCCCACGACGGCCATAAGCTCTTCATGGATTTGCTCCTGGATCTGTGATTGATCAAGAAACAGCGGAAAGAGGCCAAGGAAGGGAAGCAGAGAAGAAAACCAACACCCAGCATTTTTCACAGGTACTTCATCACCACTATCCCCATCCCACATGGCTTGAGCGACACAACATCCCACGCCACACCCTGCAAATGCTACCTCCCAGACCTCCAGTTTCCTCTCTGCCTTGTCGAAAATTGGTGCGGGTGTGAATGTGTGTGTGTGTGTGTGTACTAGAGACGTGAATCATGATCTGGTGTGTAAATGATGATAAAACATAACATGAACATGTGTGTGTGTGTGTACTAGAGACATGAATCGTGATCTGGTCTGTAAATGATGATAAAACATAACATGAACATAAACAGCTGCCTTGTTGTTACCTGGATTTTTATAACACAGAAACATCACAGAGGTTGCTTGCATTTTTTAAATATATTTTTTAGCGATCCGCCAGTGGGTGCCTGCCTGCACTGAGCTTCCAAAAGAGAGAAGACACTTAGAGGCATTTTGTGCAAATCCAGCAAACTGTGATGGGGAAGGGAAGCGTTTCATGTCTCGTCCCTTGCACTGGAGAAGCGACCTCTGGCAGGGGCTGGAGAAGCCTTGGTGCTCTGTCTCACGATGCTGAGACAGCTCGTCTTGATAATAAACAAAACATGGTCCTTCGGGGCATGGGTGCTTGGACACACACAGGCATGCTCACCATCATGGACGAGCAACTTCAAGGCTCTGTCTCTCTCTCTCCTTGTGGTTCTCCCTCTTCCTTTCAGGCTCCTGCTGGAGAGCCCTTCACACAGAACAGCTCGGTGCCCCCTCCCCTCATATGTGTTGGACCTTCTGACTCCTTTCCATCTAGCCAACATGGCCAATGGCTGGGGGGATGGGAGTTGGAAACCAGTAATTTATTTATTTATTTATTGGATTTTTACCCCGCCCCTCTAGACCATGTCTACTCGGTAACCTCCCATACATCCATCGCTGTCTCCTGTGACCTTGTTGTGAAGAGGTGATGTTGAGATTTTGCAAAGGAGCTTATCAGAGAAGATAAAAACACAAGCTAAGGGGAAACTGAGTTTGATTTAGGAGAACACGTGACCTAGGATACTGCCCATTTCCGAGCCTTCATCCTGTTGCAGAACTTTTAATTTCTGGTTAGACTCCTCTAGCTGGGCAGCAGAAGTGCCTAGATTCACAGA